TTATTTGCTTTTGTTAAACTATTGTGAGCTCTGCTGATTCACTGCAAATTTCGCAGAGATCTCGCCGTAAATTCTGAGCGTGTTACATTTTGGTTTATCGCTTTCAAAGAGTAGGGGTTATTTCTTGTAGTGTAACTCAAGACTGCTGTTTTGTTATTTTCCTGTGGTCCCTTCTCTCTTTTTCAGCAAACCATGTAAAATTAATGGTCGAAATTATATACATAAATTCGGTGTTTTTGTGCTCTCAGAGCAGAATCTTATGCATATTTAATGAAAAGGAAATCCCACTCTGATCAAGCAAGTGTGTTTAGAGTTGCTGTTTTAGTCCCGAAAATACACAGAAAACATGCAAATCTATAATGAGCTGCAAGGCACAAATAGTAATGGAAATTCGGCAAGGGTCACTGTTCAAGATTCATCGTAAGGTTTTTAAGTAAAAGTAGAGAAGATTTCGGTTACAACCCTAAGTGTGGGGAGTAGGTTTCCCTGAGCATAGTCAGCTTAAGTCCTTGTAAACATGCATAGGGTTGCACCATTAGTTATGATAATCACCATCTCTTGGAATTGTCATCTTGTATTTAAATGCTATACCAGATCACTGATACTGACAAGACTATATGTCCATGACAACCTATGAAATCTTAAATGAGCCAAATTTCATGATGGGGCATACAAAAGTGGCATTCCTACAGAAGTTTACCACTGCATCTGCACCCATCCTAGCTGCTAAATGGAGCAGCCTTTGACAACCTTCATGACCTCCTTGATAACAACTTCCATTATCCTTACCTGGCCTGACTTAAAGATTTTTTTTCCTGCGGAAAGAAACTGAGATCTCTCTCTCTCTCTCTCTCTCTCTCTCTCTCTCTCTTAAACCTTTTGCAAAGGCATCATGGGCCACTTCTGTCAAGTGTGTGATGCGAGAGGAAAACAGGTAGCTGGTGAGACTAGTTGAAGTGGAGACTGTTTGGGGAAAGAGCTGTATCTCACTATAGGGATGCGTGAGAAATCATCACATGGAATTGTTTTGGGCAAGAGCTTTCCGAAATTTATAGAGGTTTCATAAACATGAAGGAAAAACCTGGGAAAAATGGTTGTGGGAAAATGAAAAATTGACAGATTTTTTCAGCTAGGCCTAAAGCTTTGAGTGCTTCCAAATTTGTGTTTGATGTCCTGTTTATTGTACTTCATCTTTACCAGGTAGATGACAGGCAGGTACACTATTGTCCTTTGTCTACTAGAAGTAGCTGGATCTGGCCAGTGCACATGGCTGATAGTCTGGTTTGATTCCTCCTTCTTTATGAATGTACCAAAATTCCTTCATAAATAGGAAACTGAAAGCACTTGAGATTAAAGTTTCCACACTTGGACAGGAGTGTGAAACCTGTAGCCTTCTAGGTCTACCATTTTAATTTCCATCATTCCTGTGTTTTGTCATTCTATTGTAATTGATGAGAATCCTAGGATCTGTGATTAAACTTACAAATACACACATGTGTAATAAGAAAATGCTTTCATACTGCTTTGGAACATTATATATGTGATTTGGGACATTATATATTTCTTAGCTGACTGGATAGCTCAGTGGATTAGGTATCTGGCTATGAACCCAGAGGTTGGGAGTTTGATTCTCCACTGTGCCTCATACAACTAGCCAACTGTGTAGCTTTGGGCAAGCTGTACAATCCCTCAGAAGAAGGGAATGACAAACCCCTTCTGAGTATTCTCCACCTGGAAAATCCTGAAGAGGATCACCATAAGTCAGTATTGACTTGGTGGCACATCATCATCAATCATCATCAACAACTTCTTTGTGTGTTTCCATAGTTGTTAGAGGAATAAACAAGATGTGACAGTGTTGTTCACTCACTACTAATGCCCTGAGTTTTTAGTGGTCTCCCCATTTGTCACAAAATATGGCATCAGATTGCAACATCACAGGAATTGTGTTTAATCTGCACGTTGGCAAAACTTCTGAAAACTTGTGCCTGCATTTTTTGATAAGAATAGGGTCTATGAACTGCAGTCAAGGTCATGTATAGGAATACAGAAGATGTGGAAAATGGGCCTGACGTCTGGCTTGTGGTCAATGCATGACTGATTCCTGCTTAGACAATAAGTAGTACAAAAAGAAAGAACTGCATACTAGCTCGGTGTAGATTAGCAAATATGAAGAATTAAAGGGAGCATTGTTTTAATTGTATTCGTCCCAATAATGATATGCTATCAAAGGTAATTATTTCGTGACGGCTTGGTTACAGCAGTTGTTTTATCCTGAAATGAAAGTCTGTGTTGGGTGCTTTTGATTGGGAAGACGATCATATCAAATTAGTCCAAATTAGATTTTTGTCTTTAGAAAGGTGAGCAAAGCCATAAGCAGTGTTACTAAATTGGTGTGTTCTTGCCTGCAAATGATCGAGCACTCTTGAGGGTTAAAGAAGTGATTATTTTGTCCTTTATGCTGACAGCTTTGCTGCTGATTAGCCGAGTGTTGGTATTTTTTTTTAAAATGCTTGGCTCCTTATGATCTTTGTGTATGCAATGATAATATTAATCCAGAGTCGTAGGCCCATTCATTAAGAAATGACTCTAAAATGAGGTTGCTTCATGTAAATTTGGAGAGCTGCAGATGTTGTGTACAGACGTTTCTTTTTTGGAATTAGCCGTATGGCTAATAATTTCCAAGTGGCTAAAGCTCTTGTTAGCAGGAGTGCTGGGGTGTTAAGAATGGCCCTATAAATAACTTTAAGAAGGGAAGTTGAAGGTGCTTCTTTTTAAAGACTATTGTTAACTAAACATTATTGCCAAGCAGATGGAAAGCATTCACCAGCCTGATGTTTTCCCTCTAATTATATTATCTCCAGTCCTGTACGGCTCAGTTGAAGAGGTGTATCCAGGGGCCAATTTATAATCATTTAACCAACACCTGTTTGGGAGAAATTGACAGTCAAAGGGCACATTTAAAAAAAAATCACATATGTTCTTGTATTTACTGTTTCAATGTGAACACTTGCTAGCTGCAAACAAACTTGGTCTATAAGATGAACTCCCTGGGAAAATGGATGCCATCTAACCATTTTTATCTGTTTCAGTTTAGCACATCTTTTCTTCCTTGTGCCTTGCGGCCAAACGAGACCACAGCTCAGTTTTCTTTTTGTGATTTACTCCATTACTTCCTTATCTGTTTCTAAGCAGCCCTGATTTTTCAGCCTTGTAATATCTTCATCGGAAATTTGCCACCCTCATGTCATAAAATCAACACTTGCAAAAGCACTTCTAGATTTTTTTATTTTGCTATCCGTGCAATTAATGCATGGGCATTTTCACAGTAGAGCTGTTTAAAGATACCGAAATGCCCATAGGTTTATGTCGATGATGCTTTGTAGAGGTAGCCAGTCTTCCTTGTTAGGTGGACAGCCACATTTCTCAGTGTGATCTTGTGAGGAGCATGTATGCAAGTCATTTCCTCCCTCCACTCCTTGGGGGAAGAGTTTGGTGAGGGCCAGGGAGTCAATTTACAAGGGCCATGTTTATGGGGGCCCAAGGAAAGGCAAGTCACTGATTGTCTCTCTATCTCTTCCTCAGCCAAGAGATATATTTAAAGTAATGGTCAAGCTAACAGAAGATTTGGTGTGAACTCAGGAACATGTTTCACAAGAACAGAAAATGCTCACTGTGAAAAAGGTTCACCGTGAAAAGATACCAAAACTGTGAAAAAGAAGATACTAAAAGTGCGAACTAAACAAAATACAAGTTTGTCCTGTAACTATGAAGTCAAAAACTAATGTGGCACTTTTTTCTCAAAAATTTAGTTTTACTCTTGTATCACACCTATAACTGTGTGAATGTCTGTATCAGTTTAAACACAGAGTAAGAGAACAGTGGGACTATATTAAGTATGAAGATAGGGTGACTGCGAATAATATACATTATTTTACTGTTGAAGTGAGTAAGACAGAGCTTCTAGTTTGGTAAAATATCTACTACATAGTAGACCTACTTTCCCAAACTTGTAAAAATGCTTGATAAATATAGGTGAAAGTTTTCTGGGTGGTAAATTAAGAGAGAAGCAAAAATGCATGGTGTCTAAAAATCATACTTTATAACAACTGCAGTTAAGGTTGGCTCTTGTTTCTGTCTTTCTTTTTTAAATACAATTTCCCCCCCGGAATTTCAAAATGTTTCGAAGTCATTGAAGGTTTCTGTTATTTATGATTCAAGTTAGAGCTTAATTTTTTTTGTTTTACTCACAGATAACTGTGCTGCTGATAGAAGACTTTGGAGTGGTCTCTGCAGGTACGTTACTGTGTACCTGCAGAGATCACTCTTTACTGAGAAAAGTTTTTGAAACACATTTGGGTAGCTCTGGTTTAATTTTTTTTTCTAAAGAAGTTTGTTGACCCTGTGATTCTTCAGGAGCTAAGTGGATTTGCCTGCTCAAAATTCAATTCCTCAATAGAACTGCAGTGAAGTTTTTCATCACTTTTTCAATTTCCTTTGTTCCTTTCAAAAAGAATATTAGTGATTTCAACATATGTCCTTTCCACACTTATTTACTTTTCATCTCACTTGTTTTCATTGATCTTTTTCCATGAAAATATACTCTTTTATAGTTAAATTTGTCTTCTGACATCTTCTGTGTGGAGTTTCTTGCACTCCTGGTATTTTTTCGTTCTTGAAGGACTTTGTAGAAAGTTTCATTGTTTCAAAGTTGTTTAATTACTTGGACCACTGAGTTGATAATGGCTAGGGTCCGTCTGGCCTATTGTGTGGCCTTTCAAGATGTTATCTGTAGGCCTAAAATCACAATACCTTCATAAACTCTCAACAAAAACAAAGTTTAATCTTTTTCATGACAGCAAATAGGCCTTTGCTTAGGGAAATATACAGTCTGTTAAAGTTTCCAGTTTCCGCTTTTTTAAAAAAAATCAATTTTTTCTAAACTTGCAAAAAGAATTCTGTTATCTTTCAAATCATTTAACTGATGTTGTTCCATTTAGGTTTTGCTTGTGATGGATACTAGAACACAACAGACGTTTATATTGAAGGTAAGTTACTATTTTTCCTAAATACTGTGTGAACTGATATGGCACTACTTTCTTCCTCCACCAACCACCCAATCACCCAATCACTAACACATACTGGCAGTTTTGTCAATGAAATCTTCTCAGCCTTGGGCTGATTGCACCCAACAAGGCTATCTATGGGATCCTTCAGGACTAAAAGCCCTGTAACTGGGCTTCTTGATCCCACTGAATCTTGATGAAATAACATAAGCTTATTGGGATGTGGTCATAGTTTCACTCCTGATAGCCTACATGGCATCTGGTTGCCATCTCTTTTGTGAACCTTGGACTAATGACCGTGGCCCAGTCCTCATACCTATCTAGTATGATTTCCTGTACAGGGACATTACCAGAGTAACACCAGACAGTGCCACAGGAGCTAGAGAACTGTGTTCAATGTCGTGAGAATGGGCTTATGCAGCACTTTATGAAAAACTAACAAAATTTAAAGTAGCAAGAGAACACTGGTGTGTCTGCTAGCTCTGCTCTCTCTGCCGTGAACTCCTTTTATATTTGACTTGGAGATTTGAAGAGGGAATCTAATCCTGTTTGGCAGAATACTGTTACTATCCTCTATATCAGTGGTTCTCAATCTTGGGTAAACCAAGTGTTCTTAGACTACAGTTCCCAGAAGCCTTCACCACCACCTGTGCTGGCTGGGGTTTCTGGGATTTAGCAGTCCAAGAACACCTGGGTTACCTTAGATCGGGAGCCACTACAATGACAATAAATTATTATTATTATTATCGGGAGCCACTGCACTATATAATGGACAGTTCATTGAAGAGATGAGGTGATGACAAGGACTTTTCCTATTGTGCCTAGTATTACTGTATGTTCTAATGAAATATTCTTCTGGATAGGTGGCTGCCTCTGTCTCTCTTGATAAAATCTCCTTCCTCAAAACATGTAGTCTGAGGTCCCTAGTGAAGCAACAGGAGGGACAGACATCCATGATGTGGCAATACCTTGTTGGCATTTTTTGTCCTGCTAGATTTTGTCAGGAGGGAAAAGATGTAGGGCTGTTGTTTTCAGCAGCAGCTTGGTGTCTTTCATATGATCTGGTTATGACCCTAGCGACTTCCAAACACATTTGTTTGCATATCTGCCAGCCGTGATGCTTTGCGCATAACTCTCTTCTCTGTGTGTGCCACCTTCAGATATCATAATCATAAGAAGTAAACCATGTCACTGCTCTGCTTCTCTCTCAGTCCGATGGAAATATTTGCGTATACCAGCCCCTAAAAGGGGGAGGTGATGTTGTCTCTGAAATGTGGGTGAATTTAACGTTTTACTTTAAAATTTAAAGCAAAACACCACCCCCCTTATAGAATTCTTTAAAAAAAAGGTCACAGGAAATAACTGAGTGTCATCCTGATGACTTGGTTTGCGAGAGATTCTAATGAAAACATTGACCCATGTAATTGATTTTAATGGCAGCTTTGTGCCATCTTCTGTTCTCTGGATATGCGCCAGATGCCATCAGCAGGGCCTCGGGGGACTGAGGGGCATAGAGCAGCAGATGAGTGGTTTCTCTGAAGCCTGGAGTAACTCGGATAGATTAGTTTGGTTGATAAGCACAGAGCACAGCATGCTCCAAAGGCAACTGAGGGTACAACTGACCTTTTTGTTCTCTGTCAGGGTCTGAGGAAAAGTAGCGAGTACAGCAGGAAGAGAAAGACCATCATTCCCCGCTGTGTGCCCAACATGGTGGCTCTGCACAAGTACATCATCTCAGAGGAATCGGTCTTCCTTGTGCTGCACCACGCGGAAGGTTGGTCTGCCGATTCAGAAGCGTCGCAGAAGTGGCAGGGTGGGGGGTGTGGGGAATGGCTTTTCACTCAATGACATCCAAATGTTAGAGGAGACTGCTTTTTGAGCCAGAGTTTTCAGAGCATTTTAGAACATGACTGCCGCAACCCAGCTCCTGGTTTTCAGCCTTCTTCTCTCATGCACTCACCGTTTTGTGCGGTTGCTGCTCTTTTCACATTTTCTGCTGTGGTTGAAGTCTCTCTAACCTGTTCGAGCAACAAAACACTGAGCACGAGAAGGGAACTCTTCCACAAAGTGGCTGTTTCCATAAGGCAACAAAATAAGAGATTTTGGACAGCCATCACAGAGTTATATTCAGGTTGTTGTTCTTGTAATTCATTTCTCATTGGGGTAATGATTGATGTTTCTACATTATCCTTCACCCTCTGTGCAGTTAGTAATTGTGCAAAATATTTTCTCAAAAGGAAATAACAGCCTTAATTCAAATGGCATTGAGAGGCTTTAAATCTTTGCCTGTTCCATACTTTGATCCAGATTGTGTCCCCTTATCAACAAGGGCAGATTTGCTCCTAATTCAGATAACGGCTATGGAGTAGGGGTATCACGCAGAGGGGCAAATCTTCTCGCTGTCCTGCGCCTTGGAACCTGTCTGAATTAGGGGCTGTCCAAAGTACTGTTTGCTTCTTTATTTCTAGTTCCCATAATTAAGTGAATAAAAACATAGGAAGAGAAGAGGGCTGCTTTGTGCTGAGTCAGACTTTTATCCCTCTGTCTCAGTATTGTCAACTAGCAACTCCTCTCCTAGAGAGGATCAGAGAGGATTCTTTCCTAGCCCTACATGGAAGAATCGGGCTTTGATTTTATTAGTGTTTACTTATAAACATTAACAAATTACGTCTGCACACAAAACATATGCTCTGCTGCAGTGTTACAGCTTCTCTCATAGCATAATGTCTGTTTTGGTGCAGAGTGAAGTAATTGGAGTAAATGGTTAAGGCTGGATTTGTAACAAGTCCCGTTTTTTCTTTCGGGGAACATTTTTGCTTTTTCTGTGGCCTCTCTCATGCCTTTTTTACATAACAGAAACCTAACATGAACGGGGGTGAGCACTGAAACAGCTGTCTGCCGTTTCTGTGGTTACTGGGACTCTTTTCACCAGACCCATCTGACTGCAACAATGGTGGCCATATCCAGGTGCTACCCAGATGTATGTTGGCGTACAGGACAAGATTTTCGGGGACAGTTATTGACCACTTTCCTGTACAGAAATTTAACCTCTATGTGGACAAGCCCTGCTCATGCATTAAAATGAAGTTTCACCATGGATTCCTTGTGACAAAGGAAGAAATAAGGGTCACATTCTTTTTGCTATAATTAAATAAATCAGTTGTTCAGAGAAGCCGGATCAGAAGAGGGAACCAGGTAGTCCAGCATCCTCTGCCTAAGCGTCTGGCTACCTCTAGAAATCTACTTGGGGAAACTTCAGCCGTCTTTTAGCCCCAGGGTGTCATATTCAGAGGTACTGAAACAGCACATGGTTTCTGTGAATTGTGGTCCAAAAAAACTGCTTTGTGAAGCTATGCCTTAGAACATGTCTCTATTTCTTCTCCTGCCATTTTCTGAATATTCAACCTGAAAGACTGCTCTGCCTATAGTGCAGCTAGCATTCTTCATGTTGGTCCATAGTTTATCAGAATTTAAACATTAATCAAATAAAAATGATACTCATGTTTTGTGTTCATTGCTAAGGGTCACTGCTAAGGGTTAGGACAGGGTGTAGCAAGCGCACTGAAGCCTCTATTATCTCAGGCCTCCAGGAAGTGCTCACTCTTCTTCACAAGTTGCTGCCACCAATATCAATTCAGTACCAATTATTTACTGAGACATGTGTTGCTTTGAAACTTAAACTTGTTTATTTGATCAGTAATATATAATAGGTAAATCACAAGTTGCTAATCAATTTCTCTCACTGACTGAACTCACTGACACACAGAACCCTACTCTCACTGACTTTCTGGCTCACCCTCTCACAGACTCATAGATCTCCCTCGTACTCAATACACTCCCCTTTATATCCCAGCACCTCCCCCTTTAGCACCACCTTCCGTTCCCTCATTGGCTCCTTTTCCACTGCTCAGCTGTGACGGACAAGTGAGGGCAGGGCTGAACGCTACACAGGGCAGGATGAGTAAGACCAAGGGTAGGGGAACCTGTGCGCCCTTCAGATGTTAGAATCACTGTGAACATTGACTGTGCTGCCTGGGCTGGTAGCAGTCAGAATTCAATGACATTCGGGAGGGTACAGGCAGATCTTAGAAAAGTTAGCTTTTTGGACTGCAATGTCCAGAACTCCAAGACAATACGGACAGTGGCAAGTAACAACCATTGCAGTTCCCAGAATTCATTAAGATGACATTGCCTGTGTTAACTAGTTGATTCTGGAAGTTACAATATAGAAGAGTGACTTTTGAATCACGACTCCCACGGTTGTAGCACAACCTAGCCATAGGTTTCTTGACCATTTAAACTCGACTAAAATTGGAAATTAAAGATCTGTTTTGCAAGAAAGGAAAGCCAATGAATATTTGATGAATGGACTGGCTTCTGGTGATTAAGGGGTGTGATCTCTCAGCCTCATACTCTCAGAGAACAAAAACATGCAAACATGCAAAAATTGTTAGCTCTGCAGAGAGATTTCTTTGTGTAAGGTTCCCACAATGCCACCCCCAAATGTTGAGGAGAATTTCATGGGATTTTTTGAAAATTTCATGGCCATGAAGACTTATTAGTTCTTGCCCAGAATGGAAACTTTCTTGCACAGGATTCACCATAAAAGGGCTAAAGAAACAGTAAGCTGCACAGGACTGTTACAAACTCCTGCACAGTATGGCATCTTTCCTGCGTAGGATTGTCTGGAAAGGTTATCAAGTTGCACAAAATTTGCCAGTTTCCTGGAACAGAACGACAGGTGAAAAATGGGAGGGGAAACTCTGGACACAAGATTAGTGTCCTGTTTCCACAAGAAACTGTGAAATTTCTCTAATGTAGGAGGAAACTTTGGGTAGAAGTCTTAGCAAGGCAAGAATCAGAATACAGTATAATAAAGAATGAGACATTTTGCAAATACTTGTGACACCTTTACCTTGTATCAGTTCAAAATACTTTAACATTTCTCTTTAAAATTACAATTCTAGAGCCTTTGTTACATTTCTACAATTACACAGTAGCTAATTGAGTTTTTAAAAAAGAGAGAAAGAAAATAGCTAGTGGCGTTGCATTGGAGTTCAAAGCAGCACTGCAGAGTTGTACCTTCAGTGTCTCCAGGAAATTGCTGGTATGTTCGGGGAACAGGTGGTAAAGAATAATTGCCTTTTGCTATCCCCCACCTCAATAACATTAAAATATTCCTTACAATTAATTACCCCTTTTGTTAAGAATGGAACAGAGGCTGTATATACATTAGAGTGCTGCTGACAGATCTTTCTGTGTTTCTCAATATATAGAGATATATAAAATAAAAAAGCAGCTCAGAATTCATGCAAAACGGATGATGCAAACACTGTTATCTGCCACTGTAGTTATTGGGTATGCTCTGAAGCTTGGATTGCTCATTGTTCGTACTGCCTGTTTTATGGCACTGGTATTAGAAATTACTACACATCTGGTTAGGTAGTTTGTGTGAATAGTGTATCATCATAGTCTAGAATGCAAAAAACTTTGAAATTTCTTCCCTGCTGTGTTTGCATTTCCAGTTGTGAAGAGGCCTTTTTCAGGTATCCAGATTTAGGGTGTGGGATAGAAAATCCCATTTCCTGCTCTAAAGGCCATAGTTTTATCTGCACAAAAATGAGCAATAGATTATTTATTTATTTATTTATTGTTTTGTTTTGTTTGTTTGCTTGTTCATACACCAGCCTTTCTCCTTAAATGGACCCAAGGCAGCTTACATCATTACAAAGACAATATTTAAAGGTAAAACAGTAGGTATACAAATATTTTTAAAAAAGAACTAAAGAATTATATTAAACCTGGTATGTAAAATCAATACTAAAAACACATTTAAAAACAACAGAGCACAACAATCCATTTAATAAACAGCAAAGGTGGAGCCAGCCTAGCTTCCCGTGGGAGGGAGTTCCAGAATATAATGTTCTAGCTTGCTGAACAGCAGTTGTTTAGTGTAGTGGTGCCTCTTGCTACTTGTGCCGCTGTACCTAAAACCACTACTTGAGGTAACAATGCCAGGTTATTATGGTACTCGGAGTGATATATAGTTCGCCCTTCATTTTAGAAGATGACCATTTCCATTCCCCATGGTGAGATGGGGAGAGGAGTAGTAGAAAATTTATGGACATGGAAGTGGCTGTCTGGCCCAATACAAACCTGAAAGATACAGAAACAGTGGAGCCCTGTTAGCTGGTCTTGGACTCTTTGGGCAGTTGGACTGTGACATCCTTCCTTTTTTCACTTCTCTCTTCCTCTGTGCTTCCTTGATTCTTTTTATTTCAAATTCTTTAGCTTATTGTTCAACAGTGTTTCTCCAGCTATTTCAGTTTGGATTGAGGCCTTCCCAATAGAAGCATAAAATAATGGTGTTGGAAAGGGCTTATCAGGCCATTGAGTCCAACCCTGTGCTCAAAGCAGGAATCTGAATCAAAGTATATCTGACAGATGTTCATCTAATTTTCTTTTGAATGCCTCTAGTGTTGGAGTGCTCACCACCTCCCAAGGTAATTGGTTCCATTTTCATAATTCTCTGACACTTAGGAAGCTTTTCCTGATATTCTATCAAAAACTGGCTTCCTGTAACTTGAGCCCCATTATTACTTCTCCTGTAGTCTTGGATGATCGAGAACAGGTCCTGCCCCTCCTCGGTATGACAGTCTTTTAAGTATTTGACATGGTCAGTATTAAATTCTTTCAGTGTAGTCTTCAGTAACAGAATGATAATCTGGAAAAATGAGACAATGTGTGTGATGGAGCGTTGGAATGAAAGCTGCA